TCTTGTATTTTTATTTTTATAATTCAAGAAAATACATAATAATAATTACTATTTTTAAGTTTTCCTTAGTATATTATGTATGATTTATTTATTATTTTAATTTTATTATGCACATTTATTTATTTATTTATTTTAAATTTCATTTTCAAATTTTATCATCATATTTGCTCTTTTTATTTTTTTTGTATGATATTATGTGCTCTGAGTATTTTGGATTAGAGCAACATAATTTTAGAAAATCTATATAAACAAGATGAGTTTCCTTTTATTATACTTTACTTTTAGCTAGCCATCTTTCGGCTTCAAAAGTTAAATAAAATTCAAAAGCCTTTCCATATTTAGGATGTTAAATGAGCTTGTGCAAAGAATTGTTATTAAAACTGTAAAGCTTAAAATAATTTTTAGCCATTTTGCGTGCCTAAGAAGGTTTGGTACCTTTTAATACAAAATCTGTTAGCAAATCATTTTCTTTTATATCTAACAAATAACTAAAGAATGCTTTAATAATATTCTTACTGATATTATTCTTCGAAATATTGTCAAATTTTTAAAGAAGGTCACTCATTTCATAACCATCAATTTGCATTTAATAGCTTTCTGTAAATTCTGAATCAATTTCACTAATTTTGCTATCGAAATTTTAAAAATCGCATTAAGTTATACTGTATTATGTTTGAATGGAAGATTATTATTTATGGCTGGAATGGTTATTATGATAATTACTCGTTTAATCAATATTGATTAATTGTTCTTATTAATTTAAGTTATAGGCATTCATGCTTAACATTAATTAAGATAATCAAAGAGCAATTTAGTTTACAGTTTTATAGAAAATTATTAATTGTTTTAAATTTATTATTTATGACTTAAGATAATGTTGAAAAATATTTTTTATTTAATATTAATTGCTCTAAATTTTTTTTTTTTTAATCAATTTTATTATAATTTTTTGTTTTTAATTTTTATAATTAGCTTGATTATATTTATAGAATGTATGACAAACATAAGTTGAGTGAATATTTAACCGAAGAATCCCAGTTTAAAATAAAATTTCAATAAACAATTCTTTTAAAAATAGCAATTTCTAATATTAAAAATGTATCTTAACTACGATAAATTATTTTTTAAACATTTATTTTGCTGTATCTTTGCAAAAATTTATGAGATAAATTTTTTTATTTATCAATGAAATATGAAAAATAGTGAAATCAATCACGTTTTTTTATATCGATGATTGATTGAGCTTAATATCTGATGTATATTTTTTCAAAAATGTTACATTAAGTAAATTCATTTGTTTAATATAAATTTTAATTTTACTCTTTATTTTCTAGATTAAATTTTAAAGAAATAACTCTATATTGATTTTTAAAGTGAATACAATAAATATAAAATCTATGATTTATTTTTTTAAAAATGTTTTAACCTGATATCAATTAATTTTTTATAATCCTTTTCAGAAAATAATTAGAAAATTCTTTTTTTTTATTAATTTTTAGTACTGTAACAATAAATTAAAAAAGACTAAAATATGCAGGTCATATTATCTATTATCTTTTTTTAATTTTGATTTTGTAATTATTATCTGTATGTAATCTTATTTCGTCAATTATTTATTAGAATAGAAATCTGTGGGTGCTCTCTTAGATCGATCATTCTCTCTCTCTCTCTCAATTTTAAATGTATAAAAATTCATCTTATGGCTCTTGATAAATATACATGCAAATTATCTTATTGAATAGAAAATAGATTAGTAATTGTATAATTTCTAGAAAATTAATTTATAAAATTCGAGCTCTGAATTATTTCTCAAAGTAATTTGGGAAATAGAAATACTTAAAATATTTCCTTTTGAAAGATAATATTCTTTTTAAAAAGTAAATTTAATATTTAAAAAATCAATAACAAACCCTCAAAAATTAAATAGTAAATTGATTTGTTATCAACTATCTGGAACATAATCTATTTACAAGAATAAATTTTCAAAGATATTTATGATGTAATACTTAAAGGGGGTGCAAATAGAAGTGAAAGTGTGAAATTCAATTTTTTATATAAACAGGATATGTAAAGCTAATTAAATTTTATCAAATAGTAAATTTTAAGAAGCATCATGAATTTCTAATTATTTCTGATTATTACTTAAATAATTTATTATTCACATATAAAACTAAATTCTAATTTACCCTTCTTTTCTTTTTTAAGTATAATATTGATTAGATAAATGAATAATAATAAAAGTAATTATGAGCAAGCTTTTTTTGTGATAAATTCAATAGTTTTTTACTAAATTCAGCAAAAAAAAGGAAAAAACATTAATATTTTTAATATCTAAGCTATTTATTACTAGAATCTTCAAAAAAATTATTTTGTCAAAATTTAAAACTCTTTGTTTTCATATTAAGATTTTTAAGTCGCAACATTACACACCACTAAATTAAATTAAAAATTTTAATAGGCAAAAAACTAGTTTTTTCCTATTCTAAAATAAATTTTCTCCAATATAGTTTGTCTGCTATTTGGAATGATTGTTACTTTAAAATATTTGGAACATTATATTTAACAAATTTCTTTGTTACATTAAAATTGATTCTCCTATCTTTTTTTAAAATTTATAATTCAATTTTTTAAAAAATAATCCAGCGAATGCGAATGGGTAACAAATTTTGATAGATTATGAATTTTAAGTTCATAATTTATAAATCAGAAGTAATTATTTATTGTTAATCAAAGAATATAGTTATTTGTTTTTCATAGCAAGTTTTTATTGGATAAAAAAATCATACATATTTATAATTGAATAAATTAAATTAAATGCCCATAAAAATCATTTAACTTTTAAATATTTCAATACTTTATCTAATTTTTGTAATTTCAAATAAAAGAATGTCATTTTTTAAAACAAACTATTAAAAATTGCTAAAAATATGTTGAATATATTAATAATAGTCTGATTAATTTATAAGATTTTTGATAATATTATACAAAATTGCCTCAAAATAATGTTCTTATATTTAAACAACTATATTTTATTAGATTTTATACATTTAACTTCGTTTTAACGAAAATCATGAATTTGTTTATCAATTTATTGATTTAATATTCTTATCCTGCTTTTTATAGCTTTTTATGTTTATATTCTAAGTTAATTACTAAAAAATTGCTTTTAAATCATTTTATACATTATTTAAAAAAACAACTAAATCACTAAAAAAATGTATTATTTTCTATCAAACGAATCAACTAATTAATTAAATAATGTATAACAGCTTCAACCAAACAGATATAATTTCTATAGCTTACTATTCACTAATTTAATAATTTACAGTAGAAAATAATTGGTTAATTAAATCTGATAGAATATAAATTTACATAAAAAATCAAATCAACTTAATATCATTAAAACACCTATTTTTCTAAAAAAATTAATTTGTAAATATATTTATCTATTTAAATAATTTAAAATATATAACAAGTTATTGATAATAATTAACCATAGTGTTCTTATTTTTTAAATTTATTTACTACAAACAAACATATAAAATATATACTATAAGCTCTTATTAATTAACTCTTACACCCTTTTAAAATTTTGTGTGATATTTTAGATGTTAAGGTACTCAATCAAGTATAAAATCTGGAGTGGGAGTAGGTCTTAATTAATGAGGATTCATGTTAATTTAAAAAATAAAATTGTTGTTTAATTTTATAGAAGTTGCTTTTTCGTTAGATACTTACTTACTTACCTTGTTTTTTAGTAAAACATTTTATAATATACTAAATTTAACATAATTTTTTTGTTTAAATTAAAGTTAATTAACAAATATATTTTCATTTAAAAATTTTCAAAAATATGTAAGAAAGAAATGGTTTTTAATGAGAATTATAATTTTATATATATCACAATTTAACATTTAAATCTAGTTGTAAAATATAAATGGAACATGATTAATAAATAATTAAAATTTTTAGATTTTGAGAAATAAATAACCTTGAGGACAAAATAAATTAAAAAATATCTTGATAAATTGTATACGTAAACATATTTTAAGTACTAATAATATTGGTTATTTTTTTAATAATTTATTATTTAAATTTTTCAGAAGTGATTTATATGTTTTTTATTATAGTTAATATGTTTTATGATAAAATTTGCATAACCTCTGATAGCTTTTATATAATTTTATCAAATTCTATGGTCAAATCTGCTTTTTTTATTTTTTTTATATGTAACTAAATAGGATGAGTATTCTGGATTAGAACAACATAATTTTAAAAAATCAATATATATTAAATGAGTCTCCTTTTATTATACCTTACTTTCAGCTAACCAGATTTCAGCTTCAAAAGTTAAATAGTACTCAAATGCTTTGCCAAATTTAGGGTGATGAATAAGCTTATGAAGTGAACTGTTATTGAAACTATAAGATTTAAAGTAATTTTTAGCCATTTTGCGAGCTTATTCAGGTTAAGTGTCTTTGAATACAAAATCTGTTAACAAATCATTTTCTTTTGTATTGAGCAAATAGTTAAGGAAAGCTTTAATAACATTTTTACAGATGTTGTTTTTTTAAAGATCATCAAACCTCTAAAGTAGATCTTTCATTTCATATCCTTCCAATTACATTTAAAAGCTCTATGTAAAATCTAAATCGCCCTCGCAAAAATCTCTGGATTCATAATTTTATTAATCTTACTATTATATAAAAGTAAAGCTTTTTGATTCTTAAGACATAAATCTTGTAATATTTGAATCATGTATCTAAATTTTTTCATAAGATACTTCAGATTAGTTACATTTGATATTTTAATACTTCATCTTAAAGAGCTGATAAAAAATTCAAACTGAATAGAAATTTGATCTTTTATAATATTAAATATCAGCTGTGTATGTTGGCAAAGAGTTGATAATTAGAAGAAAAACTTTTTTTCACCTTTTTTTGATTAATTAATTAATAAATAAATTTTTGCCAAAAATTATTACTGAAAAAATTTTTGAATTCAATAAACTCTTATCCAATCAAATGGGATAAGTATTCCCTATTTTTTAATCTAAAAACAATATTTCAGAAATAAAACATGAACTAAAATATATTTTTAAATGATTTAATTCATTTTATCATATTGTGAAATAGACAAACTAAAATTTCTTACACTATCCTAATAAAACTCTTTTTTATCATTGGCTTCACTGTTATGATAAATAATCAAATAATTACTTCATAAAGTGTAAATTGTTTCAAAAACAAAATTATGTAGAAAAAACACCATAAATAACATTTATAAAATTTTAATAGTGTAATCTCAAATTTCAGTTTCTTTTATTGGGGAAACTAAACAATAGATTATTACTATTTTTAATTATCATAAAGCAATCCTCTTTTTACCATTAACCACTCATTTATATTGAAATTAATAAGAACAAATCACTATTTCAAACAAAAACTCATCATTTTAAAAGAACACAATCAATAAGCATGCATAAAAATATCTATACTAAATAAATTTACCTTTAAAACTATTTTTTTATCTCTCTATTCTATTATAATGTTCATTTTATAATATGAAATTTTTAAGAATAAGATGTAAAATCTAAAATTTAAAAACAGTATCTCATATTAAATCATATAACTCTTTGAAACATTAGTCCTTCTATAATTGAAACAACTGAAAGAATATTTTGTTTTTGAGCTTAAATGTGTTTAAACCTAATTAAAACATCAATATCCTACTATTTCTATTATTCATAAATAAAAATAAATATATATCCTTTTCTAAATGTGCTTAAATCGTTAAATAAATATAAAGTTTATTCTCAATTTTTACTAATTTTAAAATTACTTTTCGCTCATGCTCATGAATAAAATTTGAAGTTTGTAAGTTAATTTTCTTCCTTACAATAATAAAATTATAAATCACGCTTTTTTATTTAAGAAATTAATTAAACTAAGTTTTTTATTTCAACAACGAAGTAATTAAATTATATATGACATTGGTGCTTTAATATAATTTTTTGAGATAATTTATATACGATATATTTTATTAAACCGATTTCTATTTTGACCTTTTAAAAAATTATTAAAATTAGGCAATTAACAAAATGTCTTTTTTGTTATAATTATTATTATAACAATTTAAATTTTCCCTTAAAATGTATTAATGCTCATAATAACCTATTAATACTAAGACAAAATAGCATAAATATTATTGAAAAATATGCTTTAAATTAATTAAAGCTAATACCTTCTATTAATTTTTTTTCTTACTTTAATTTTAACAATTTATTCATCTAATTTGCTTATTAATTATAAGCTAGTATAAATATTCTTCAATTTCGTAAAAAGTTTATGATTTGTTTTGAGTTTTTTTTTTTTAAAAATCTATTTCATATTTATCACTAAAATATGCCAGCCTAGCCAAAGTGTTGAATATAATAAAAAAATTTACTTCTATAATTATCAATATCCTAAGACAAATTTTCCTTTAATATAAAGTTTACATTTTTACATAATGTTTAATTTAAACAAATAATTTATATATGAATAATTACAATTTATGATAAAGAATATAGGCTTTATGGTTATTATAAATATATATGGTTAAATAATTATTCCATTTCACTTTAATTTTTATCATTAAATTTATTTATTCTATTTTATTTTGTTAAAAGTTACTATGTAATTTGAAAAGTAATTAAAAGATAAACATAATTTAAATAAGTCAATGTATATTATGTATTCTTTTTTAACGAAACTCTACTCTCTAATAACCAATTTTATTATTCAAAAGTTAAAAAATTAAATGTTTTGTAATACTTTGGAAGAGAGAGTTAAGACTTTGAAGAGATTTATTATTAAAATTAAATAATTTTTTAGAAAAGCTTTACTCATTTAAGTGCTTTATTTGGCTGAATTTATCCACTTTAATCAATTCAGCATGTGAATCAACATTTTATTATTAATTAAGTATCTAAAGAACTCTTTAGTAATATTTTTTATTGTATTATTTCTAAAATTAAATATATTTAATATATAAAATCATCTATTTCAAATAATCTTGTTTTTAAGTAAATTAAATTATTTGATGTATTTGGCTGAACTTGTTTATTATTTTAGTCAAATAAACAGTCAATAAAATTTTATTCATAATAATTTTATGGTTATTAATTAATAACAAAAGTATTTTCTATGTTTACTAAACAATGACCTTAAATTCTATTTATGACAAAAATCTAGTTTTTAAATTTAAATTTTTCTTGCAATGACAAATATAATTTTTTTAAAAATATAGTTTGTTTTTTATTTAAATTAAAGTAAAAAAAGCTAGTAGAGTAATGAAGTGAATTTTAGTTGAAACTATAAGATTTAAAGTAATTTTTAGCCATTATGAGTGCTAATACAGGTTAAGTGTCTTTGAGTATAAAATCTGTTAACAAATAATTTTCTTTTGTATTGAGCAAATATATAAGGAAATCTTTAATTTTTTTAAAGATTATCAAATCTCTAAAGTAGATATTTCATTTCATATCCTTCGAATTTTATTTAAAAACTCTCTTTAAAATCTAAATAACTATCATAAAAATATCTGGATTCATAATTTTATTAATCTAGCTATTATATATAAAATTAAAGCTTTTTGATTCTTATGGTATAATACTAGTATTATTAGAGTCAGATATCTAAAATTCTTCATTAGATACTTGAGGTTATTTACATTTAATATTTTAAATCTTCATCTTTATGAGCTAACAATTTATTAAAATGTAATAGTAATTTGATCTTTTTATAATATTAAAAATCAACTGTGTAGAGATGAAGTCATGTTTGTTGACAAAGAGTTGATAATTAGAAGAAAAAATTTTTTCACCTTTTTTTGATTAATTAAGTAAACTTTTAACAATAATTATTACTGATTTTTTGAATTGAATAAACACTTATCTAGTCAAAAGAATAAGTATTCCTCATTTTTTGATCTAAAAATAATATTTCCCAAAAAATTTGGGCTAAAATTATTTCTTAAATGTTATAATTCATTTTATCATATTGTGAAATAAACAAATTAAAATCTCTTACACAATCATTTTAAACTCTTTTTTTCTAATTGACTTCATAGTTATTTTAAGTGATCAAATATTTACTTCATAAATTGTGAAATTTTTTAAACAAAATAATGTAGAAAGAACATCAGAAATAACTTTTTAAAGTTTAAAAAGGTGTAACCTCATATTTAAGTTTATTTATTGGGGAAACAGGACAGTAAATTATTAAATTGTATGCTTTTCTGATGTTTTTAATTTTATAATAAAGCATACCTATTATTACTATAATCTTTTTTGTATATCTTGAAATTAATAAGGACTAATCGTTATCTTAAATAAAAGCTCATTACTTTAAAAGAAAGCAATTAATAAATGTGCTTATAATTACCTTTACTAAATAAATACTTCTCTAAAACTATTTTTTATATTTCTATATATTATTATTTTGTAAGGTTTATTTTATAATAATAAAATTTTATGAATAAGATTTAAATTCAAATATTTAAAAAAATATCTCATATAAACTCAAAAAACTCTTTGAAACGTTAGTATATAATTGAAATTAACTTAAACACAATTTATTAAATTTTATAATTTTTAGTTTTTAAAAATTTTGTGAGCTTGAATATGTTAAAATTAACTAAAATAAACAATATCCTAATATTCTTACCAGTGTTTCTAATCCATAATTCATGAACTCTATTGATTGAACTTATTTTTTCATTAAACATTAATGATATTAATGAAATAAATTCACTTTAATAATTATTTTATTGATAATAATTTTTTATTCTAAATATAATGAAATGATAATTAAGAGTAAAATAAATTAAAGATCATGAATCGATATTAAAAATTACAGTCGTGAATATCGATAAAATTATTGAATATAATGAAATTAAAAAATTAATGAATTTAATAAATATTTTTTATTTTTAAAAAATCTAAAACATAAAAAACAAGTTAAATAATTTATCATTTATTTCTTGAGCTGTTTAAGAACATTTGCTCAATTTATTCCTATTTTATACTATTATATAATAGATTTAAATGGTGAATCATGATATTTTAAATTTATTTATTTGTAATATTATAATATAAATATTTTTTTATTATAACATTTTTTATTTTTATAACATAATAAATATAATTAGAAGGATCTGAAATGTATATTTTTTTTAATTTTATTAAATAATACTAAAGAAATTGTTTAGTTTTATTTTCATAAAAAATAAATATTTAATTTAAAAATTATATATTTTTTATTGTATTGCTTGATATTTAAAAATAAAAATTTATTAAAAACTTTAATTATAATTATAATTAAAAAATTTGAATAAATCAGCAAAATAAGCATAGTTTAATATTTTAGTTTTGAAAAATCTATCTATATTGATAGGAATTACTAAATTAAAATTTGTTTATTATATGAAAATTAGATAAATGGAGTAGCAATAAATATTATTATTTTTCAAAAACCATTTAAAATATCGCTTATAAATATAAAGCTATTTTTACTTAATAATTTTTTTAATATTTATTGAATTTACATAAATATCTGTCTCTTAAAAGGCTAAGTCTTTATTTAAGTGGCATAATTACTAGTAAAATTATGAAAAATAAAGTTTTTACAAACTCTAATACATCCAAATAAATAATAAAAGAATAATCATTGTAAAATTCAAAATTTAAATCTTTAATAAATATAATGAAAATAGTATATCTATTTTTAGCAAATTGAATAAGAATAGTTAATAATCAAAAATTCTAAAATACCTCCTTAAAATAGAAGTTAAGAGATAATCAATGTTTTTTTTAAGCTTATTTTTTTTAATATATTTTGAAAAAATTTGTTAATAGGAATTCTTATTAACCACAACATTTAAAGTAACCAAATATTAAATCAAGTAAGTACTCTTTAATTAATAACTAACAAAATATATTAGCTTGTCATTAAAAAATGAGAATTTAAATTAGGTGATGCAAATATAGATCATTTATTTTTTAACTAAAGTGATTAATTAATCACTTTTTCAACCATTTACATTTACAATATTTGAGTAAGTATTTAAAATAATATAGTTTGTGAAAAGTAAGAATTTGTATAATAAATTAAACAGCTTAGCTTTATAAAAGTAGAGAAATGATTAAGATTAGCAATTTAATCACTAAAAATAAGTATTTTGGAATTTTCTAAAATTTATGCTTTGAAAAGTTTTTAATTTAATATTGAAATCCAGTGCTTTTTAACTTTTAGTAATATTAACATATATTTAATCATTTTTCAATCCATTATTCTTTTTATTTTTTTAGAAATTAAAAACACCCAATAAATCTCTATAACTATAACTGATTGATTACGGATACTGAAAGATATTACTTAATTCAAAAATATATATATTTTGAGTAATTTATATCTTTTATTTTCTGATACAAACACGAAATCTTAAATAAATTGATTAAGTTGTTTAACTGTAAATTGACAAATATAAATATAAATTTAATAACTTTTAAAATAATCCTATTAAATTTGAAATTACAGACTATTTTTCTCAAAAGCAAGTAAAATCAATTACTTCATTAATATTTGATTTTGAAGCACATTTAAATTACTTTAGGTAAGATTTTTTTTCATTATTTATTATTAAATGCTGTCTTTTTACCTTTTTTATATGCTATTAGTCGATTAGAATAATCTGTGTTGCAGCAACATAATTTTAAAAAATTAATGTAAATCTAATGATCTTCTTTTTATTTAACTTTACTCTTTTCCAGCCAATGCTCTGCTTCAAATGTAAGATAAAATTCAAAAGCTTTTCCATATCTAGGATGCTAAATTAATTTATGAAGGTAATTGTTATTAAAATTGTATTATTAAGTAAAATTCTTAGTTTGCTTTCGAGCATTATTTTGTGATTTTTCTTTAAATACAAAATCTGTTAGTAAATCATTATTTTTATCAAGTAGGTTTGCAAAAAAAGCTTTTATGACATTTTTACATATGTTATTTTTAGAAATATTTTCAAATTTTAATAGTAAATCATTATTTTAATAATATTCTTCATCTTAGAATTCTGAGTTATTTAAAACAGATGAGTCTGACTCATATTGTGATTTTAAATACGAGTTTTATTGATCATTTTAATTCATATGTTTATTTTCATTTCTTTCATTCGATTTGCAACTAGTAATGAATTCTTTTTCAAAAAGAATACCTTAAGCATTATCAATTAATGAATCTTTTTTAGAATTTTTATCCTCAAACTGTCTATCTTATTTCATTTCTCTTTAGGTATTATATTATAAAATAAATGATAATAGATTTTAGTAATTTGCTAATTAAGCCACAGATTTTAATAACATTTTGATATTAATCTTTATAAATTATTTATTTGTTAATTTCCTTTTTTAATTACTTACTTACTTATAAAAAATTTATATTAATGACAAAAATATAAAATTGTTAGAAAATTTATAATAGATTTAAAAAATAAAAAGAGTTTAATTTTTCTGTTAAAATAAGTTTTTGCTTTTTTAAATTTTAAAATCGTGACTATTATTATTTTCTTCCAATCTAAAAAAGCCTACTATGAAAGTGTAATATTTTTGTAAAATATCGAAAAATTTGTTTAAAATTGCTTTAAAGGTTGATTTTAAAAATAATAATTATACATTGATCTTCTTTAACTTTTATGAATGAAATAAATAATTAAAGTAATAGAAAAAACAATTTTTCTATTATAATATTATTAATATTTAAAAATCATTACTTGAACGAGTGAATCAAAATAATGTTGATTGAATAGTAATAAATTTTTTATTTAAATTAATAGATAGATTCACCCACCACTCAAAAAATTTGCAGATAATTCAATATTTCCAGTCAATTGATAAACATTAATTTTGAAAAGTAATTTAAATAATAAGTTTAATCTAAATATAGTAATTGTCCTGTAAATACATACAAAAATTTGTATTTTTATTAATAAGCCTTGTTTATTCTATTTTAATATAAATAAGTTATCTACTAATTAATTCATGTTTTATATGTTATTTCATTATATCAGAATATTTATTTCTATTCTATTTTATAGTCTTTAAGTAAAAAGCTCGAATTCAACGATTATATTAAAATTTCTATTTATTTTCCTTATTCCTTATTTATCTGCATAAAATAAGACAAACAAACAAAAATTAATTAACTTATTTATTTTTATATATAAATATTGAAATTGATCAAATAAATCAAAAATAATAAATAGATTTTAAGGTTAAGGTGTTTATCTTTCTGTCTTTCACCTCGAAAAAAATACACATCCATGAATTCTAATATAAAAGTTTTATTTACTTTTTGTTATTTGAAAAAGATTAAAATTCTATTTTGATTTTAGTTTAGTTTTTGTTTATACTAAATCATTATTTTTTACCAATTGAAGTAAAAGAGGTTAGAAATTTTAGTCCATTAATTTCGATTTAAACTTTTTTGGAGATAATTTAAAGATATTTGGCAATGTTTATTATTTGTTTACTTGTTAATTTGTTGTGTTAATTAATTAATTACATGTTTTTTCATTTTAAATGTATTTATTATTTAAATAACAATACTTTGAATAAATATACTAGAAAATATCTTTATTTATTTATTTATTTATTTATTTATTTATTTAATTTGATAATATGATTAAGAAGTCACTCAGTTATTAATGAAAATGTTTGATTATTAATATATAAAAGCTATTATTTAACTAAAGCTATAGATATAAATATTTAACTCCAGGTATTTCTAATAATATTAATTAGCATATACTTAAAATTAGATATAATATTGAAAATATTTTTTGAGAAAGCAAATTTAAATGAGAAGTTTCCTAATATTTATTTCTAAACATAATGAAGTAAAATTTGAATTATTAGATAAAACAAGAGTTAAAGTAAATTAGTAAATAAAGAAGGAATGAAATTCCTGAGATATTTTTTTATAATTATTAAAACCGCACAAATTGTAGGACGGACTAAATCAATTTAAATAATGTGACGATTATTAAAAGCTTACTGTTTCTAATTATTTAATTTAAAAAACTCATTAGAAATAATTTTGTTAGCTATTGTTTCAAAACAGATAATTTAAATTTTTGTTGAATTTATTTCAATAAGTCTCCGTCTATATAAGCATAAGTTACTAAAATTTTTAAATCCACCTAATTATTATAAAATTATTAAAGAGTTTGAATGTGCCATATTAATAAAAGTAATATACACAAAACTTCAACAAAAAAAGTCAAATACATATTAAATGTAAATTAGATATCTAGTTTTAAAGGGAACTAACTAATAGGAATAATTAAATTTAAAGAATATTATGATGCTCCATTAAAAATTAGAGGTTAAAATTTGAAGAATTTTATTTTTTAATTTCTTTTTTCAAACTTATTTAAAAAAAGCAAGTAGGTATAATAATCTTTTTGCCAATAATTTTTCAGTAACCCTTAATAAATAAATAAATCAAATATATATTGTTTGTTTAATAATTTACAATCAATTTAAGTATCTCATAAAAAATACTTATTTAAATATTATGATGCAATTTTTTATAATTATTTTTCATCATTTTTATAGAATTCAATATATTTTAATCATTAAAATCTGTATTTATTTCTTCAATGTTCATGCGAATATTTAAGTATTCAAGGATAAAAAAAATTATCATATGCAAAATAAAAAAAGAAAAGAAAAAATAGATTCAAATAATACAATTAATTTAAAAAATGATAACAATTTTTTAATATTTTATCTTTTTAAATTGTATTTCTTTAATGAATAATTTCATATTTAATACAGGAACATTTTTATAGTTTTTGCTTGACAATATTAAAAATAAATTAAATTGATCAATTTTCTTCTTATATTTTTCTAAAATAGATTGTACTTCGTTAAATTTTTGTTAAATTCAAAAATTAATGTTTGTAACCCAATACTTTATTTTTTGATGTAAACAAAAACCCTTAAAGAAATCCACAAATTAATTTTTTGTAAAACTGATTTATTTTAATCAAAAAACTTGAAAAATAGACAAAGAAAAAAATTTACAGATACTAATTAACTAAATTTCCATAAGTAATCTAGAAAATTTTCATGAATTAGTATGATATTTAAGCCAGAATATTTTTCACTTTATATTGCCATATAATATATTTCTGATATTATAATAGCTAATTAGATGTTTAGGATATTAATTGTTGCAGCTTTTAAAAGTCAATAAATGTCCTATAATTTTCCTATCTTTATACTTTATTCTTTTTTTCACAATGTTTAGTTCAATAGGAAGGTAAAATGCTAAAATTTTTCAGTATTAAGGATTCTAAATTAGTTTATAAAGGTTAGTACTATAAAAGAAATAAGCTTAAGTAAATTATTTTGTTTGCTTACATTACAAGCAATAAATTGAGAAACTCTTTATAATGCAATATCTGTTAATAATTTATTATTTGATCAAGTAAATAAGTATTATATTTTACAGTAAATTACAATTTTACAAATATTCTTCTTCTTACACATTATGAGTTACTTAAAACAAAAGAGAAAGAATCTTGTTGATATGTATGTATATCTATACAAAAATTTATTAATTATACAAACTAATCTAAACATTTTATCTATTATTTATACCTAAATTATAATGATAATTAAATTTATTTAAAAGAGTATAGTCTAACATTGTCTATATTTAAATCTTTTTTAAAATCTTAGGATTACATAAGTGATACTTATTTCACTATTAGATAAATGTATAATTATATACGATTTTAGTATTACTTAATAAAACTAATATATATTCGTTACATATTTAAATATAGCTGTTTGATGTTTTAAAATTTACATAAAAATTATATTATGGTACTCTTCATGTTTTTTTTTAAATCAGAATTTATTAGATAATGTTTTTAAAAAATATTAAGTTTTATTTGACACTAAAGAATTAAAAAATTATAACTATCTATCTACAAGAATATCATATATAAAGTAAAATCCCTATTTTATTAAAATTTATAAGAAAAAATAAAAATATCTTTTCTAAGGATGTGATGAAAGATCATAAATGGGTTTTATTTGTTTAGCTAATTATTTTAAGCTTAAATAAAAAATTGTGTAAGAGGGCTAAATATATTCAAAAAATTTTAGAGTAACTATAAATTAATTTAAACATATACTTCTATTTAATAACTAACAAAAAATATCAATACGTCATTTAAAAATGTATTATTAAATTTTGTAACGCTAATTAATATATTGTTTTTTGAGCTTTTACTTTCATAATTTTAACCTTTAAAACCTAAAGATATTTGGCCTGCTATAGAATAAAATTAAATCTTTCAAAAATAATAAAGAATTCATTTTATTGATAAAAAAATATTTATCATTAATTAAATTTATTGAAAAAATTAGATTTTGAAAAATTTTTTGCTAAAATCAACAACAATTTTTTTATGGCTTTTAGTATTATTATTAAAAGTTGAGTGGATTTTTTTTTCTTATCAATTAAAGAGAGTAATTCAAGTCTTTCTTTTTCTGATGTAAATATAAAATCTTGAAATAATTGATTAATTCCTTTAATTTTAAATTAATAATAAATAAAATAAATAACTTCTAAAATAATAAAACAAAAGATATTTTTCAAATAAGTATTTCTTAATTATTTCATATTCATCTCGAATATATATATATATATATATATATATATATTTAAAATCAGATTATTATTCACTCTTTCTTATTAAATGCTGTCTTTTTACCTTTTTTGTATGCTATTAGATGATTTGAATAATCAGTATCGCAGCAACATAATTTTAAAAAATTGATATAAATCTGATGATCTTCTTTTTATTTAACTTTACTCTTTTTCAGCCAATACTCTGCTTCAAAAGTAAGAAAAAACTCAAAAGCTTTTCCATATCTAGGATGCTAAATTAGTTTATGAAGGTAACTGTTATTAAAATTGTAAGATTTAATAAAATTTTTAGCTTGTTTAAGAGCATTAGTTTGAGAAGATCCTTTAAATACAAATTCTATTAGTAAATCATTATTTTTGTCAAGAAGATAGGCAAAAAAGGCTTTAATGACATTTTTACATATATTATTTTTAGAAATATCTTCAAATTTCTCTAGTAAATTATTATTTTATAAATATTCTTCGTCTTAAAATTCAGATTTATTGAAAAGATATGAGTCTGACTCATATTGTGTTTTTAAATCAGAGATTTGCTTATCGCTTAAACTTTTGTATAAATTTTCAGTTCTTATACCAGAATTAAACAAAGAATAAGAATTTTTTTCATAAAGCATTTCACTAACATTTTTTATATTAGAATCTTTTTCAAAGTCCGAGAATTGCATTTAAATTTTTTAATAGATATTGATAAAAAATTGAATAAATAATAGTTTTATTATTTACTTTTTATAGCAGATATTTTTATAAAATATGAGTGATAATTTACTTTATTTAACATTATTAATTGACTTTCTCTTCTTTTATTATTTGTCATTATTGCATATTAATCAGAATGGAGTATAAAACTGTAACATAAAAATCAGAATAATTAAATAATTAGAATGAGTTTGATTTTTTTGTTTTGCATCAGTTTTAGCTTTAAAAATAAAGACTATTTAATATTGTATTCTTGGTATATAAAAAATAAAATTTCGAAAGTGTAATCTTTACATAAAAAATTGATTGTTAACTCATATGTTCCAAAAAGACTTAAATTTAAACAGTTAGTTTTTTAGGAGAATATAAATTTCTTTTCTTTGTCTTAAATTCAAATACTAAAACAGCTATCCTTTTATAACTTAAAAAATATTTTTAAATTTACACTTATATATTTGCCTTTTAAAAAAATATTTATTTGAAAAATTTGCTCCATTTTTATTTAATAAATTCAATTATCCACTCAAAAACTTTCCTAATAATGTAATCTTTCAATCAATTAAACAATAATCTAAATTTTATTCTGTAAGCACATTCTAAAAATTGTATTTTTATCAAAAAATGCAATCTAATTTATAAAAACCATTAATTTAAAAAGTAAGTTACCCATCAACTCATACTTAACAACTTTTTCCATTAAAATCTAATTTTATTATTATTATATTCACAAATTTGATTTATTTAATTATATTTAAGAGATATTTAATTAGTTTATTATTTATTTATTAGAGTAAACCTATATCTTCTGTATTCCAATAGAAAAAAATTTGCATCATTAAATATAATGAAAGTTTGTTTTAAATAGTTAATAAATTAATTTTTTTATGATAGCATAAATTTTTATGTAATTTTATAAAAGGCATTTTTTGAATTAATCAAGCAAGATATTTCAAATAAATTTTAAATGGTTATATTTATTTATTGTTTGCGGATTTATTGTCTTTATAATTTAAGCTATTAAAAAACAATATTGTTAATAAAAAGCAGGAAGATATTATTATTTTATTTAAATTGATAGTGTAATGTCAAATTTTTATCTTTTATTAGTTAAATGTTTTATTTTTCAAATATAAATACATAATTTGGCTTGATAATGATCTCTTTCATCTATCAATTAAATAATAATAAAAAAATAAATGCTAATAAATAATCTTAAAAGATTCTAATTAAATGTCCTCATATTCTATTTTATTTAAATATTATATATTTAAAATATAAAAAATCATATTTCAAAAATTTATTAATTAAATTATTATCTTTTAATTAAATAATACTTAAATTTTAATTCTAATTATTAGTTTTATAATTCATATACATTAAATTAAGTTACCGTCTCATTTCTTTTTTAAGGTAGTGCGTAATTAAACGCAATTAATTTATAGGCTGGATTTATATTACTTTTACTTTAATTAAAACTTCACAAGTTTTTGGAAAGGAGTTTGAATGACTGCGGTATATGTAAAGTATAATTATTCTTTTTACTAGCAACAATAAAATTATTTAAAGTGAAAAAATAGTATTTTGCATGAAGAGAAAATAAAATACCAAGCAAGGTAATTTTAATTAATCTTTTATTATTAATTAAAATGTATTCAAAAATATATTACTAACTCATTAAAAATACGCAATTAAGCTTAATGATGTAATTACTATTAATAATTTTTTACTTCATTACTTATTTATACACTAATAGTAAAATTAAAATGTTAAAAATATTAAGCTAAAAAATAATAAAAGTGTAATGTTTTTATTAATTTAAAAAATTGATGAAAGTATTAATATTTTATTAATTAATTTTAATTGCTTGAGAAAATATATTATTTATTCTATTAAGCTTTTTTTGGATTTCTTTTTTACAAAGGTAATTAACTATATTTACTCAATACTTCTTTTATTTCTGGAATATATTACACATAATTAATTAATTAACCTTACTTGTTAGTAAATCAAATACGTGAGTAAAAGATAAAAAACTTGAAAATAGCACTTTTTTTCTGATAAATACAAATTTTTAATGTAATCCGCTAATTTATTTTTTGTAAATTAATTGATAATAATCAAATAACTTCAAAAGGGACCATATGATTATTTGCAAATACAAACTAAATTAAATACAAGAGCCAAGAAAAATTACAATTAATATAGAGTTCTATAAATACAATTTTTTCATTTTTTGATGATAAATAATAATAATTATTATTACTAAATAATTAAATAAATATATACAACAATATGAAGACATTCTTAATTGAATGTTATTCATTTGTAAACAACTAAAATGTAAGGTTAAATTCTAAAGCTTTTCCATATTTTATGATGCTAATTAATTTATTAAGACTTTTTTATTAAATATATTAGCAATTTTTTTTTGCATTTTTACAAATATTAAACTAAAATATTCTTCAAATAAATGAACAAAAAAGCTTTAAAAATATTTTTCTATTAAACATGCTGTTATGATAAAATTCTGAATTGTTAAATATAAATGTGATAAAATCATACTGATTGATATTTATATTATAAGTAAAATTTAACCTTTTAAAGCAAGGTATTCTTTGCTTATATTGTCACTTTTTGACATTTTTCACAAATATATAGATTATTTTAGTGTACTTATTTTACTTTAATCTCTTGTTAAACAAAGAAATTAAGAATTATTAATTATATATTATTTAAATAAACTAAGTCATTGAAGAGATTTTTGATATTAATTTACTTTATTGAATAATACTAATTATTTTTCTTCTCTCGAATTATTTAAAATAAATTTGTTTTTCTTTAAAAGCCAAAAGCAATTTGTAGCATTTTTTTAATAATAAAAGAGTCATATTAAATTTCTCATTTGTTTAAAATGATTTTTCCTTATTTATAATTTAATTTGAATTAAAAAGATAGAATAAATATTTCTTATAAAAAAATTTTTATAATATTATCAAAGCCTTCATAAAAATATTTCAACTCCTTCAAAAAATAAATAAATAAAAATACATATTAATTAATAAAAGTAAATATCAATCAAATACTAATATTTTTTCCTTTTATAAAAAACCTATCAATTGGTAAGGGATAAGGGGAAAATTAGTTTTATTAAAGTATCAAATTCATCAAATTAACTTACTTTTTCTTATGTAAGCTTTTTCTAAAAACTGTAATATAATTTAAAGATTACATAGATCATCCAAAATAATTGATTTTTTCAAAATTTACTAAGCCTCATAATTTATTTTTGTAATTTTTTCGTTTTTCATATTTTTTAGGATCTATTATCAAAATAAAAGTGGGAATATGTCTTTTGCCTTTTTATTGAAATAAAATTGAAGTTCTAATTTATTAGCCTAACAACTGTATCCCCACTAAATATCTAATTAACTAACTATCAAAATATTCAAGCAATAATCAATATTATTTTTCTAAAAATCCAAGTTAATGAATTAAATTATAGATAGACAAATCAAAAAATTTATTGCTCGCGTATATTTTTAAGGTATTAAAAAAAATTTATAATTTACTTATTTTTACATGATAAAATAATGGAGGCTCCAATACCATCAAATATTAAGAAGTATTTATCTTTCACATATAAATAAATATTAATTATAAAAGTTAATTTATGATATTTGGCATAGATAATTTTATGATTTATGCAAAATAATTATATTAAACATCTTAATAAGAAAAATAAATTTTTTTGTGATATAAAGTAAAAAATAAAAGCAAATTAAGCTTCAAGATACTAAAAAAAAATAGATTTTATATTTTCATTTAAATAAAATTAACTTTTATTCTTAATATTTACAGTATGTCTGCTATGGAATTTAATAAAGCAATTTAAAACTCTTATTTAAAAGTATCTGTTTTTTAGTCCATTTTTAAAAAATTGTTAATGAAATAATAACTCAAAGGATTTTTATAGTTTTACAATTTAATTGAAATTCAAAAAAACTAAATAACAAAAATTCATAGTAATTAAATCTCTTTCATCCACAATTTAATAAGTAATTTCATTATAGCAATTATTTTGAAAAAAATATTTTTTAAATCTGTACTAAGCTTTTATCTACAAACAACAGCTAATTTTAGTATATCACATACCGTCAGTGCTCTTGAATAAGAGAATTCTAAGTTAAGAGAATTTCTAATTAAGATTAAAATCAAAAATGTAAATGTGCTATTTTCGTTTAAAAAAAATTTTTTTTTTTTAACATATTTTGCACCCTCTTTAATTTTTATTCAATATTTTGAAGTGGTAATAGAGGGGTAAAGAGAAAATAATTATTTTTTTTATTGTACTTTTTTCTTAATTTTTTGTTTAAGTTTTAATAAAAAATTTACTTTTGTTTGAAATCTGATAAATAGAATAAAAATTATTTTTAAATATGAATAAACTGTTGGAAATAATTCAAAGTTGCAAAATGTATTATAAAATTGAATAAAATAAAATTTTATAATGTTTATTTCAATGAATTTTGTAACTTGGAAAACATTTTTTTATATTAATAATAAAAAAAAGTATTGAAAATAAAAAATCTTAATTATCTAAAAAACTTTAATCATTAAATTAGTTAATATAGTAATATTGAATGATCTTATCAAATATATTTACAATTAGTATTATGCAGAAGAAAATAAGTGCTAATATTACAATTAATTAAGATACTAATAAAAAGTAAATAAGATCATAATGATTTCATGTTTTAAATAGTAAAAGACTAGTATTTTTATTAAGATTGCTTTTAAAGCTATGATAGACTAATAAGTCCAATTTAGTTAAATTATGATGCATATTAGTTATGTAAAAAAAATAAATAAATTTCTTATTTTTTATAAATTCCTGAGTTTCATTAGCTTTTCTGACTAAAGATAAAGTATATTAGGCTAATTTTTGTATTTTTTAAATAATATTGAATAATCTCTTTTGCTTATTTACTTTAAAAAAGAAGTATTTTTCATAAAAATGTTTTTGTAGAACAAAAAAAACTTAATCATTAGCTAAATAAATATCACATAATTTGGTATTTAAGATAAAATTATAAAATTTTTTAACTTTACAGATGATAGTTAACTGCTGAAAGGTATTAGCTACTTAAGCGAGTTCAGCTTAGATTTAATGAAAAAATAAAAGCTGTTAATCACTATATATTACCACAAAATTATAAAATAAAAAGCAAGAGAATTTTAATTTGTCATTTAAATAGGTATTTTTTAAGTTTTGTGATGCAATTATTGAAAATTTAAATATACTTTTTTAAATAATTTCTTCGCCAATTAAATTTGGAAAATTATTGCATATTTTTGAGAATAAAAATATGGTCTAGTAAAATGAGGTCTAAAAAATACTAAGGACAAAAACTAAATATAATAAAGAGTAAAATTGATTTCTTACATAGGAAACCAAAATATTATTTATTACTAAAAAAAGAATTTAGAATTCTTTGAATTCTATCTATACTTAACTTATCTTTTTAAATTTGTATTAAAATCATTTAAATTTTATTTCAGTAACCTATTTATTAGTTCTTATGCTTTATCAAATCGAATATAATTTTGATAAGAATCATTCTATCAGTAAGCCACTCATAATATTTCTATTTAATTTGATGCAAATTTTTAATAAAAGCAATCAAATCTATATTTATTAGTTATATTCAATTACTTTCAATAGCAAATTAGAATTAAAGGAAATAATATCACACAAATTTATATTTTTCGAGGGTTGATTCAATACTTTCAATAATATAAGGTTAACAATAAATAATATGATATAAATTTAAATTTTTACAATCTTAGTTTAATTTAATAATAATAAATTATTTTGATGCTGTTATTTGAAAAGATAGATTTTAATTTTTATTTAAATTAGTTATATTCATAAAATATTTGATTATCAACTACTTTAGAAATATTTTTTGCTTTTTTTATATGAAACTAAGTAATTAGAATAGTTAGTCTTACAGCAACATAATTTTAAAAAGCTAATATAGATAAGATGCTCTTCCATTTATTATACTTTACTATTTTTTAACCAGTTTTATGCTTCGAAAGTAAGATAAAATTCTAACGCCTTTCCATATTTAGGATGATGTATTAATTTTTGTAGGTCTTTGTTGTTATGATTGAAGGATAAAGAAAAATTTTTAGCTAGTTTACGAGCATTGCTTTGAGAAGCTCCTTTCATTATAAAGTCTGTAAGTAAATCATTTTTCTTGTCTAGAAGATAAGCAAAAAAAGCTTTAGTTATGTTCTTGCATATATTATTTTTAGAAATCTATTCAAATTTCTCTAATAATTTATTATTTTATATGTGTTCTTCTTCTTCTTCTTATTACTATGATTAGTTAAAGAGATGTGAGTTAGACTCATTTTGTGATTATGATAGCAGGTTTTGTTGGTAATATTAATTATTATCTAAATCTTCTAGCTATTTTTAGCTTTTATCTTCACTTAAATTACACTTTAAAGCGTATTTATCTCTGTAAGTTATCTCTGTGAGATCCTTAAACAAATAATCTCTTTTAAAATCTTAGAATGACATTTATTAAGTTTATTATATTTCAATCTGCAAAAGCTTTAAAGAAAATACCTTTTAGGTAGTTTTTTGATAAAAGTAATGGTTTGGTTAGTATTTTGATAATTTTATTGACAATTAATTAATTACAACTTATACATTATAAATTATACTATTTCATGAGAGGAATGATTTTGGAGTTAAATATTTAAAGGTAATTAATTTGTACTTTTTTGAAAAAAATACTTTGACTTTAATATAAAACCCAATTAAAAAAAATAAAATCACTTGTTTAGTATTCAATAATATTATTTTAAATGATTTTAAAATGTTATAAAAAAATATTATTATCAATCCAAATATATTTTTTTCTTTCAAAAGTAATTTGTAAGTTTGCTATTGGCTTTAAGATATAAATAATATTTGAAAAGATAGAAAAAAAATAATAAAGTGTATTAAATAAATAAGTACTACATATCCTGATAAATTAACCACCAATATTATTTTTAACTATTTGCATTTTAAAAGTTTTTTAAATTTTAATAGTGTAATCTCAAATTAATTTAAGTTTTTTTTATTGAGGAAACAGGGTAATAAATTATTTTTGTTTTTAATTATTAAAAAGTAATCCTCTTTTTACTATTTCAAACAAAAACTCATAAATTTAAAAGAACACAGTCAATAAACATACTTATAAATATCAAAACTAAATAAATATTTCTCAAAAATTATTTTTTTTAATTCTATATTTTATTATCTTTAATAATATCCATTTTATAATATGAAAACTTAATGAATAAGATGTAAAATCTAATATTTAAAAAAAGATACTCATATTAACTCAAAAAACAATTTGAAACATTGGTATATGATTAAAAAAACTGAAAGTCAATTTATTATTTTACAATTTTTTAGTCTTTAATTTGTGAGCTTGAACTTATTTAAAGTTAGATAAAACAAGCAAAATCATACTATTTCTATTATTCATAAATAAAAATAAGTTGATATCATTCTTTAAATTTGCTTGAATCGTTAAATAAATATAAAATTTAATATCAATTTTTACTCTATTTAAAGCTGCTTTTCTCATATGAATAAATTTTGAAATTGATAAGTTAATTTTCTTCCTCACAATAACAAAATTAAAAATCACTCTTTTTTATTCTTGAAATTAATTTAGCTAAGCTTTTCTGTCCAACAATGAAGTAAGTAAATTAAATATGGCAATTATGTTTGAATATAATCTTTTGAGATCATTTATATACAATTTATGTATTATTAAGCCATTTTCTATTTTGATAGTTATATAATTATTAACATTAGATCATTAACAAGATGTCATATTTGCAATAATTACAATAGTAACAATTTATAAATTCCAGTTTCTTAAAATAAATTGAACCTATTATTTAATTAATAAAATTAAATATTTATCTTGCAAAGAACGTGTCTTAGTATAGATTGAAAAATAGTTAACTTATTAATATTAATGTTCTATATAGTTTCTAAAGTTATTACTTTTGAATCATAATCTTGAATGGATAACTCTTTAAATTTATTATTAATTGTTAGAAAAATATTTTAGAAGAGAAAGAATGAGTTTCAAATATTTTTGAGTTTGTTAAAGGAGGGAATATTGGTAAGTTTTTTGATGATTTTCAATTTTATTGAATGAAAAAACTTAATTGATTTAAAAGCAATTAAAATCAATTTTGAAGATATTTTTGATTGTCAAATAATTTTTAATTTCATTCTTTATAAATATTTAAAAAGAGGTTTTAGGTTTATAAAGATTTAGCAAATAAAAATATTCAACGTAGTAAAAAAAAATTCCAAAAAAAATAATATGTTGTAATTTTTTTAATTGTGTTTATCAATTAGATATTAAATTATGTTTAACTTCAATTTATCTTTTAAATTTATCAGATATAAATATATAATGTTTAAATATTTATTTTAGAAAAATATTTTTTTTAATTTAATGGTCAATGTATTTTTAATTAATTCAATATTCAAAAGAAAAGAAAAATTTGAATAGAAGGCTGAATTTTTTTTTAATTAGGATGCTTAAATACTTGGTTAAAGTAGATTTCATTATACACCTTAATTACAGCATATATGGTAATATTAAACATATAATTATTACATTAAATATATGTAATATAATTAGATAGAACCAGAAATTTTTATTGTTTGATATTTAAAAATATCAACTGAAAACTTGAATTATCAAATTAATAATAAAATTTGAAAAAATTAACAAAATAAAAATAGAATGATATTTTAGTATTGAAAAATGTATTTAAAATCACAAAAATTAGAAAATTCTGTTTATAAAATCAAAATTAGATAAATCGAAAACAATCAATGAATAAATATCATTTATTTTTTACCTAAAATTTCAATAATCATTTCAAATATTATTTGTAAAGATAAAGCTATTTATACTTAATAATTTTTATATTTATTGAATTTATTTAAATAACTATCTCTTGAAAGACTAAGTCTTTAAGTCGCATTAAATTACTAGTAAAATTATGAAAAATATAGTTATTTATTAACTCTAACACCATCCAAATAAATTAATAATAAAAGAATAATCAATGTAAATATGTAAATTTAAATCTTTAATAAATATATTTAAAAAAGGAAATTCACTACTTTTATCAAAATATGAATTAAAATTCTAAAATACCTCCATAGGAAAATAGAAGGTAAGAGATAATCAATAAGTTTTTTTGTGCTTATTTTTTAATACATTTAGAAAAAATTTGGGTTAATAGAACTACTTATAAACCACAACATTTAAAGTAACCAAATATTAAATCAAGTAAATACTCTTTAATTAATAAATAACAAAATATAATGGTTTACCATTAAAAAACTAGAATTTAAATTAGGTGATGCAAATAAACATCATATTTTTTTTAACTAAAGTGATTAATTAATCACTTTTTCAACCATTAAAATTTACATTATTTGAGTAAATATTCAATAAAGTAAAATGTGTGAAAAGGAAGATTTTGTTTTAAATATAAAAAAGTTTAAATTTTTATAAAATAAAAAAATGAGAATAATTAGCAATTTAATATGTGAAAAGAAGTAAGTATTTCGAAGTTATCTAAAATTTATAATTTATACGTTGAAAAAATTTTAATTTAATATATTAATCCTGTACTTTTTAACTTTTAGTAATGTTAACATATATATTTTTAATCACTCTTCAATCAATTATTCTTTTTATTTTCTTAGAAATTAATAAAAACCCAACAAAATCACTTTTAATAATTGATTACTGATATTGAAAGATATTACTTGATTCAAAGATATATTTTGAGTAATTCATATCTTTTATTTTCTGATACAAACACGAAATCTTAAAAAAATTGATTAAATTCTTTAAGAGTAAATTGATTAATATAAATAAAATAACTTTTAAAATAATCCTATTAAATTTTAAATTACAGTCTACATTTCTGATAATCAAGTAAAATCAATTACTTCATACATATATGATTTTGAAGCACATTTAAATTACTTAGGGTAAGATTTTTGTTCATTATCTATTATTAAATAAAGTCTTTTTACCTTTTTTATATGCTATTAAACGATTAGAATAATCAGTATTGCAGCAACATAATTTTAAAAAATTAATGTAAATCTGGTGATCTTCTTTTTATTTAACTTTACTCTTTTCCAGCCAATACTCTGCTTCAAATGTAAGATAAAATTCAAAAGCTTTTCCATATCTAGGATGCTAAATTAATTTATGAAGGTTATTGTTATTAAAGTTGTATGATTATGTAAACTTTTTAGTTTGCTTGCGAGCATTATTTTCTGAAGTTCCTTTAAATACAAAATCTGTCAGTAAATCATTATTCTTATCAAGCAGATTTGCAAAAAAAGCTTTTATGATATTTTTACATATGTTATTTTTAGAAATATCTTCAAATTTTTATAGTAAATCATTATTTTAATAATATTCTTCATCTTAGAATTCTGAGTTATTTAAAACAGATGAGTCTGACTCATATTGTGATTTTAAATAAGATTTTTGTTGATTATGTGAATTTATGTAAATATCTCCATGTCTTTCATTCAATTTACAGCTAGAATTAGATCCTTTTTCAAAAAGAATACCTGAAACATTATTAATTAACAAATCTCTTTTAGTATTTTAGTGCTAAAACTGTGTATCTTATTTCATTTCTCTTAGGTATATTATTAAATAAATGATAATAAATTTTGGTAATTTACTAATTAAGCCACAGATTTTTATAATATTTTGGTATTAATTTGCTTTATAAATTTTATTTATTATTTTCCTTTTATATTACTTCTTAATAATTTATATTAATCGCAAAAATATAAAATTGTTAGAAGAATATATTTAAAAAATAAAAAGAGTTGATTTTTTTTGTTAAAATTAGTTTTTGTTTGTTTAGTTTTAAAATCATGACTCTTTTATTTTCTTTCTATCTAAAAAAGTCTACCACATGAAAGTGTAATCTCGCTGTAAAATATTGAGAATACTGGGAATAAAATTGCTTTAATGGTTAAATTTTAACAATTATAACTTTACTTTGATCTTCTTTATTTTTTATCGATCGAATAATTATAGAAAAACAACTTTTCTATTTATAATATTATAAATATTTAAAAATCTTTACTTCAACGAGCTAGCCCAAAAAATTTTGATAGAAGAATTATAAATTTTTGATTGATTCACCCACTATAACTTTACATATATATTATGCAATCTTTCCAGCCAATTGATAAATAAAATCATGACTCTTTTATTTTCTTTCAATCTAAAAAAGTCTACTTATGAAAGTGTAATCTCTCTGTAAAATATTGAAAATACTGGGAATATAATTGCTTTAATGGTTAAATTTTAACAATTATAATTTTACTTTGATCTTCTTTACTTTTTATCAATCGAATAATTTTAGAAAAATAACTTTTCTATTTATAATATTATAAATATTTAAAAATCTTTACTTGAACGAGCTAACCCAAAAATTTTG